AACACATTACAGAACTAGAAGCAGCATTGGTATGTCTCACAAAAGCTGCTTTTACATTAATATTATTTGTATTTTTATTCTGACCCAAGTCTTTTAATGGTTTTTAGCTAGCTGACAGCCCCTTACTTACACATGGGCATTACATGCACCTTTTTGCCTGGGTTGTTTTTTGTTTGTTTGTTTGCTTTTTTTGGGGGGAGGGGGGTGAGATCAAAGGAAATATCTTGTGATGTTTGAGCTTTATTTTTTAATTCCTGCATTAAATATGTAACTTGCTTTACAGTGTGGATGACAGCTTAGGAATTAACAGTCTGCATGATAGTAATTATTCACAAATGATGACGTGGTCCAGCCAGTTCTGGTGGAACAACTTCCTGGAACAATAAAACAGAAGTTCAGCAGGCAGTAGCATATGTGGATGACAGGACTGTTGGGATAGGAAATTTTTTATTAATCTGATTAATTAATTTTTTTCCTAGAATCATAAGGCCCATTTTTACTTTGATTTTAGTATATTTTTGTTCTACTTTTAATGATAATCATCTTAAAAAGGTTTTAAACCTACCCTGCAAAGGCTTCCCTGAAATCATATTCTTTAGAGAAATAAGCCACAGTACTGGAAATAGGGAGGTTTTTGAATTCTGGATTTAGCTTTGTGACTGATTCACATGACTTTGAACAAATCATGTAAATATCTGTGCTGTCTCTAAATTGAAGATAACAGCAGCCTTAGAGGAATGCTTTTAAAGTAAGTTTGTAAAACTCTATGAAGACTTAAATTATGATTTATTAGTGTTTTTAAAATACTGCTTTAGGGATGGAAAAACCATGCTAATGAGTCTTGGGTGCATAGAACTAATTATGTTTTGTGGTTGATTTGAAGTGATGTCTCGTATGGATCAGAATATGTGGGGTGGAAGTGTCGTCTGTGTCCAGAAGGAGTTTATTCTTTCTGCACATTTCTCATGGTGCTTCTTAAAGAAAACCCCTCTGCTCTTACCTAGCTCTCCCAGGCTGCCTGTTCAGGACTCCTGCGAGGCTCAGCAGGGGTGATGTTTATTTTGTACCACAACAGTTGCACTTTGAGCCCTACCAAGGAGGGACTGGCACCCTTTCACCTACCTGCCTGGCAGGGGATGCTGTGGTACAGCCTGGGCTGCAGGCAGTCCAGATGTGGCTACAAGAATGCTCTGAGTTCCTTCTCTGCAGGAAATGTGGTGCAGCCAGGAGGAAGATGATGCCTGCCTAGGTATTGTTCAGACATAGGTTTGAGATGTTGCCAAATGGTGCAGTGAAATCTGGGCTCTGAGGAGCTCTGTATTTTTACAGGTGAAACACACACTACAGAGAAATATAAATAAGAGATGATTCAAACAGTCCCTGCCCTAAAGAGCTTCTGAGTGTTGCAAGCTGAATGGAAATAAAGCATGGCTTCCTTCTATTACATAGTTCCATCAATTTTTTTTTTCCTTAGAGATATTTTCTGTGAATGCCTCAAGTCAGAGAACTTGTGTAGCAAAATGTGTTTTTTTCGTTTTCTAGTAATGAAGTCACACATATTTATAGCATTATCATCTAAGAATCCCAAGTAGCAATTACTAATTATAAAGAGGGGGAAGATACTAATTTTATTGAGGAAATGAGCCATGATGAATTAAAGGGACTTTCCCTGAATCACAGGAAACTTAATGTGGAGCTAGAAATTGAGCCCAGACCGCCTGATGTTCAGTTCCCTGTTTCAGTCATATGACCATCCTTTTCCAAGTATCAAATATGTACACAAGGCTCTCCAGTGTAGTCTTCACATTAGCTTCCAAAGCTATAATTCAGTTCCTCTGAACTTTGCCCTTTCACTCGTTTTAGCAAAAAGGCAAACATTTGCCCATTTGTCTCAATAGTAAGTAGAAACTGCTTTCTATACAGATGGCGATTTCCTCTCCATTCACATGCTTCTCATCCTAGTATTAGAAGGCCAGCCTGTGTCAGCAAGGGCTTGTTTAAATTAGAAACCAAATAATGTTTCAGGGATGCCTTGGGCTGTCTTGTGGAGAGGGTTCTTCTCAACCCTTGCCAGTTACTACTTGGTGGTCCTGCCAATCCTTGCTGAGTTTCAAAACAAAAGTTGCTCAAGCTTGAGCAGCGCCGTTAGCCCAGCATACGCAGCTGGACAGCTGGTGAGCTGGGACGAAGCAAGGCCCAATGCGTAACCAGGCACAATTCACCAGACCGTGTAAAGGGACAGGGGAGTGGCACTGTCCTAATTGTTAACATTCCTCCTCTGCAAGACTTCTCCTGATATTTATTTAATAAGCCCAGGCTCATAAAGTCTAAACGATTTAAGCAAGCAAGTGGTAGCTGATGTGTATATGGAAATGACATGCAGCCAGACTAAGTGAAGGGTGAAACACTTACTTTCTGACTTTGCAAAGCTCTATCTCACAATTGCAGATGAAATAATACCTCAGGCAGCCACACCCAGGAGTGGAATATACACTGTGAGTACCTCAGGAGCTGTACTTCAGGCCAGGTTTGCACAGCCACAGCTGTTTGCACAGCTCCTGTTTAAGCATGCATGACCAGTGTTCTGGCATGGTCTTTTCAGCCAGCGTGGAGAAGTTTATGTTGCTGCCAGTAAGTAATATTCATGAACTCCAGCCTGATGTCTCCTGCCAGTGGCTACAGAGATCAGGGATGTGCTATTGCTCTCTTCTCAGAGGGGTGAAAGGCAGGTTCAG